TATACACGAATAAAACTTTTACAAAAGAATAAAAGGAAGCAGTTTCAGAAGGAATTAACCAAATGAAAAATAAACCAAAGAAAAAGATTCAGGTCAAAATACGGGTGAACTAATAACAAATCAAAATGTTCAGAATGAAAGTTCTTCTAAAAGGTCATTTGAAATCATTCTATCCTGAGACTGAAATCAAGATATAAAGCCAGTTCCCTTAATATCTCAAATCTATAAGCATTTTCCATTTACACTACTCTCTTGATTGGTGTGAATCCAGAGAATGAGAGCCTGAAAATATTTTAATAATCAACTGACATGGCAGAGAGGAAATTGAAGCTAATTCTTCCCGTATTACCAGGAAAAAGCCTTATGACATAACTTGGTATACTTACTTGGACATCATACGGATCAAATTATGATCTCTAACTTTTAGAAATGAAAGCGTAAAATTACTTTTATCTTTTTAGCTTAAAAGTTATTTATCTTTCAGGTAAGTTTTAGGATACAAGATCAGTATACAAAAATCAATTGTATTTCTTTTACTTGCAATGAACTGAAAATAAAATTCAGGGGAAAATCCATTTATAACACCATCAAAAAATACTTAGGAATTAATTTTTAACAAATTAAATGTAAAATTTAAACTTGGAAACTTACAAAACATTGTTGAAAGAAATTAAAGATCTAAACGAATGGAAAGACATCTCATGTTCATGGATTAGAAGACCTATATAGTTAAGATGGCAGTAATCCCCAAACTGATCAACAGATCTAATGCACTACCCATCAAAATTTCAGTTGACTTCTTTGTAGAGGTTGACAAGATGATTCATAAATTCATATGTAAATGCAAGGGACCCAGAATAGCTAAGATATCTTGAAACAGAAGAACAAAGTTGGATGATTCACTCTTCCCAATCTCAAAACTTACTACAACGCTAGAGTAATCAAGACAGTGCGGTACCAGTATAAGGATAGACATACAGATCAAAAAACAGAATTGATAGTTCATATTAAACCCTTGATTTTACAATCAAATGATTTTTTGACAAGAGTGCCAAGAGAACTCAAAGGGTAAAAATAGTCTTTTCAGCAAATGGTGTTAGGATAACTGGATATCCACATGAAAAAGAATAAAAAGTCAGACCCCTACCTAACACCACATACAAAAATTAACTCAAAATGGAATAGAGACCTAAATAGAAGAGACATAAAATTCTTACAGGAACATATAACAGTAAATCTTATGTTTTACTGTTTTAAATTGGTTAGGCAATGGTTTCTTAGATACGACACCAAAGCACAAGCCACAAAAGAAAAAGTAGATAAACTGGTCTTCATCAAAATTAAAAACTTTTGTGCTGCAATAGAAACCATCAAGAAAGTGAAAAGACAACCGATAGAATGGGAAAAAACATTTGCAAATCATATAACTAATACAGAACCTGTACGTAGACTATATTAAAAACTCACATAACTCAATAATCAAAAGACGACCCAATTATAAATTGGACAGAGGATCTAACAGACAGTTTTCCAAAGATGATACATAAATGGCAAATATGCACATGAAAGATGCTCATCATTAACCATCAGGAAAATGTAAATCAAAACACAATGAGATCCTACTTCACACCCAGTAAGATAGCTATTATTAAATAGACAGGTAATAACGAGTGTTGGCGAGAATGCAGAGAAATCGGAAACCTCACATGCTGCTGGTGGGAATGAACAATAGTGCAGCCTCTTTGGACACTAGCGTGGCAGTTCCTGGTTTAGGTTAAGCATAGAGTGACATATGTCCCAGCAATTCCACTCTTATGTATATACCCAAGAGAAATGAAAACATATATCAACAAAAACACTTGGACGCAAATGTTCATAGCGGCATTATTCATAATAGCCAAGAAGTGGAAACAATCCAACTGTCAGCCAGCTGATAAATAGATAAATAAAATATGCTAAATGCATAAAATGGAGTACTATCCAAGGGATAGGAATGAAGTACTACTACACGCTACAGGGTTGAGCTTTGAAAATGTGATGCTCAGTGAAATAACCCAGTCACAAAGGCCACATATTGCATGATCCCATTTATATGAAATGCCCAGAAAAGGCAAATCTATAGAGACAGAGAGTAGACTAATGGTTGCCTGGGGCTGAGAGTAGGGATAAGGAGAAAAAGGATTGCTAATGGGTACAGGACTTTTTTGGGGTGATGAAAATGTTCCAAAATTGTTTGTGGCAATATTTGCACAACCCTTTGAATATACTAAAAACACTGAGTTGTACACTTTAAATGGGTTAATTGTACGGTATGTGAATTATAGTCAATTTTCATTATTCACATATTCCTTATTTGTGAATTCACTTACTTGCTAAAATTTATTTGTAATCCCAAAATCAATACTCACGGTGCTTTCGTGGTCATTTGCAGACAAGCACAGAGTTGTGAAAAATTTGAGTTGCCAGCTGTGCACATTACCAGCTGAGGTTGAACAAGAATTTGTTTCAGCCTTCATACTGTAAACAAGTATGAAGGTATATTTAGTGCCAAGTTTCTTGCATTTTTTGCTTTTTGTTAGTGATTTTGCTGTTTAAAATGACCCCCAAGCACAGTGCCATAGTACTATCACAGTACGGCAAAGAAGGCTGTGATGTGTCTTATGGAGAAAATACTTGTATTATACAAGCTTCATTCAAGCACGAGCTGTAGTGCTATTGGCTGAGTTCAATGTTAATGAATCAACAATATATATTAAGTAAGGAGTCTTTAAACAGAAATACACATAAAACAAGGTTATGTATTGATTAGTTGACCAAAATGTGATCAGAGGCTCACAGAAACCTAACCTTGCATCTCCCCTAGGAGCAATGATTCAGTATTCCCTAATTCAGTGATTGAGGCAACTTTATAGAACATAAGTACCATAAATAACAAGAATTGATTGCATATCTCAATAAAATAAGGCTATTATTTATTTATGTTTGTTATAGATAAAATTGAAAAACGATACATAGCAAAAGGCTAACGGTGGTTCTCTCTGGAATTTTTGTGGTGCTTCTTTTCTTTGTTTACTTTTGCTACAGTAAAAATGAAATTATTTTTCTGCTTTCAAAGAAACAAGATAAACAAGACTTCTGGCACCGGCAAAGCAGTAAGTCCACTATTGGCCTCTCTCACACACTGACTATAACTAAAAACTCCAGGAAATGCGGCCCATGGGATCTGGAGAGTGTAAGCTGTGGGTGTCCTAGAGAGGAATGGGGTGAACCTAGAGGAGTACAAGGCTTTGAGAATTGAACTAATACTGGAGCCCCTTTTCACAGAAGGTGAGAAACAACTGATAGTCTGAACTTAACTAAGTTGATTGCCTGCTAGAACATGGAACAAAAAAGATGCAACATTCTTTAGAGGATTTTAATAGAAACCAGAGTCTTGTGATATAATTCAAAATTGGACCCAGAAGAAAGGTGGTAAGAGAATCCAGACTATGGGTCCAAAGAAAGACTCTCTTCCTCTGAAATAGTAAAAATAGAAAAAATGGCAAAAAAACACACAAAAAACAAAAAACAAAAGTAAATGGCTGAGGCAGTTATTGCACAAAGGCTTCTATTTTCTTTATAAAAGCCGGAGAGTATGGGAGAATGACAAGAACTTTAAGGGGTGTTTAAGGTTTAGAACTATCAGTGTGGGCCAGGGAAAAGGAGCTGACAAGGGACAGGCAAGGAAAATGCTAAGCAACATGGGAGACCCAGATGGGACTGTAAACGCTAGTATGACTATGGTTCAAATCTACACTAATGAAATGTTTTCTCCCAAAAAGCTTGATTATTCGGGAGCCTGAAAGGAGAAAGGACTAATCCAGGGCTGAGGATTTTCAGGGCCAGTATGGCAGAAGGACAAGAAGAGGTTGTGACCACAAAGCTGCACCTCCACCGAACAGTCAGGGTTAGGTACCCCTCTTCCACACTCAGTTAATGCTCTATGCATCCTCTACTACTAGTTACATTGTGTCACAACCATCTGCTTATGTATCAGTCTCTCTTCTTTAGAAATTTGAGTGCTGTGTCTTGTTCACAGCTGCATCTTTGATATTTAGTACCTAAATAATTGCTGACACCTAACAGGTACTCAATAAATGTTTGGTTGATGGACTAATGCATTCAAAACATATTTAGCAAGATACTACCAGGTACCAGCACTGTGCTAAAGGCCACCCATACACTTGTAAACAAAATAGGTGTGGTGCCTTTCTTCAGGAAGTTATAGACCAGTAGAACACATGTAAATAAGTAAATAATTACAAAGTGTTTTCTGTACTGAGGAAGAAGCAATTCAGGGATAAAGAGAAACAGAAGAAGGGAGAGGTATTTTTGAGACTACTCAAGGTAGTCTTTTCTAAGGAACTGCCATTTTAGCTGAAACCTGAAAGATGAGAAAGGACCATCTTTGTGAAGAAAAAAGGGAAGAACATCCAGGTAGAGGAAAAAACATACGAAAAGACCTGAGGTAAATAAGACTGTGGCATAGTTCAAGATATATAAATGACAAGGTAGAATAAAACATGACAGCATGCCCTTGGGACAGCCTTATAGATCCAAACGAAAAATAACAAGAGTGGCAGTTTAGTCCTGAAAACTTCAACCCCAATCCTGCTTTCTGCCTTTACGTCTCCTTTTCTTTCTGATCTTTTAAAAGAGACAAGAGGAAATTTCTCTTTTTCTCTTTCGTATATTGTGAAGGCTGTTTTTAAAAGAACAAAACCACAAGATAGAAATTATCCAGACCAGACGGTGGTAAAATTCTAATGGGAATAAACTAGACTTCAGTTAAGCCATGGAAAAAATCTTAGTAGGCCAGGGTATTTTAACATTTTCTTGAAAAACTACTGATTTTAAGTCAATACACCAAAACTTAGGCACTTTAACATAACCCTAAGAAGTTTTGTTAGAGTTTATTTCTTGGCCATTCTGCCTTATGCTCTACCAGCTTCCTGATGGGGAGCTGGTCCCGGTCACTGGGTGGAAGATCCTCATGATCCCTCCCCCTCAGAAACCACTTCTTTTTCTTCTCCTCTTGCACCCTGAAAGACAACTGTCACCAGAAATACATTTTTTTTTTAATTAAAAAAAAAAAAACATATAAAAAATTTCTCCAATAGACCACAAGTGCTCCTGACGTATCCTAGATTTCAGTGAGAGCCCTAGAGTAATCTTAGGTCAGGATAGGTTTTACACACTACGAAATACAACAAGAATCTGCTTTTTGCTCAGCCTTACCACTCCCAGCTCAGTAAGTGCCTATAACCCTGTTTAAATTCTACCACTCACACTCTATAGTCTGCTCTACCTGTCTTCTGCTGGAAGCCTCTCTCCGGTGCGTGGGTGGAAGATGCTGGCGGCCAAGAAGCAAATCTCGCCATCTTTCAGCTGTCCCAACAGATGGCTGCTGCCTAGAGTATAAACTCTAAAAAATAAAAAAGCATCCACCAAATTGTATGAGCAGTAACATAATGGTAGTGAAAATACTGTAGGCTGCAGTGATAGCTCTGAGGTAAACTAAATAGGTCAGAATAGTCTGATACATTATGGCATAAAAGTAGACATTATACTTCTTGCCACTTGGTATGGATCTTAACAGTATCCACAAAGCAATCATAAGTTTCTTCATCTATGAAACAAGGATAATAATAGATCTATCTCCCAGGGTTATTGTGAGAATTAAATGAGAGGAAGGACACAAAACACAATGTTCTAGAATAATTTTGGCTATGGAAAGTACTTAAGAATGTAAGCATTATTATGTTATTCATAATAATAGTAATATTATTGATAGTATTAATAAGAGATAACACTATCATCATCAACAACACTGTTGATGGTAGTAGCATAGCTCTGCTAAGCCCAGATCGAACTCTAACTAATTTACTTTCTGCTGCTTACTCTTTACTATATTCTGCTCTACTTGCTCTCTGGCAGGGCCTGGATCCTAGATTTCATGCAAGACATATTCATGGCACTCCAGAAATAACTCCTTTCTCTGTCTCTCATCTGGCATATTATGAGAGGTCTGCCCACAGTTCCTGTGCTAAAAGACAACATAAACATTGGAACGTCAATTGTCCAAGCAGGTGCATCATGCCAGGACAACAGTAAAAGATTCAATAAAGATGCCTGAAGTAGTTTCAACAGGTCACAGAACAAGAGGATATTATACCTTTGCCATTATAATTGACCTTAATGCTAAACCCCTGAAGCAGTTACTACATTGCCTTGTAAATCTTGAGCCAAAACCTAGGCAATTTACTCATTGCTACTTACTCCTCACTATAATATGCTCTAACTTATTTTCTGGGAGAGGTTGGGTCTTGAATACTGGGTGAGACATGCCAATGGCACTCTAAAAGCAATTCATCTTTCAAACTCCCATCTCTCAAAAGATGAGGGTTGCCTGATACACTTGTTTTAAAAGAACAACAAAATACAAAATTAATTGTCTAAGCAGAAATGATGGGTTAGTGACAATAATGCAGATCAGTGACAAACCCAGAATGATACAAGGGGAAGATAATACAGGGGTGTTGCGTGTGGGTATGTGTATAATATAAAATTTCCAAACACACATCAAAGTAGGAGAAAAAACAGTATAATGAATCCCAAGATAGTCATCACCCAGCTTCAACAATTAGCAGTTTGTTTTTATCATCTATCTCTTGTCCCACTTTTTTCCTGGAGTGTTTTAAAGCAAATCAGTATTTTAGGTTTGTAGGTTTTTTGTTTTGTTTGTTTGTTTGTTTGTTTGTTTTGGGGTTTTGTTTGTTTGTTTGTTTTGTTTTCTTATTCAGCAACACACTTGAAAGAAGATAAGGCGATAAGGCAATACTTTTATAATGTCGCTAGCATTTTCCCAAGGTAAGGCCAGGAGACAAGCTTGTGTCACTTCCACAAGCACTCCTACTTGGTGTTGCCAACAATTGCACAAACACTAGAGGTGGTAAAGTTCAGGAATTTTTGAAGTGATAAACAGCTTGTTTTATCCATCATAACTGGTTTGCAAACTGGATGCCTGATTTTGGTGTACTGCTTCAGTTGACCAAAAGGAGAATCCCTTTGGTATTGATAAGAATGTATGATGGCCAAATAAATATGCTAAAGGATTTGAGTTAAAAAAACCACTTACTATTAACCAATCAATAGTATAAAAATCTGTCTCCTGTTTAACCCAAATGACAGAGATATGTCTTCTCATCTGGACTCTTTAGAATAGACAGATTTTGAAATAACAGAAGAGACTATATTCTTAGCCTAACTCTAGGAGCCTTAATTCTATGCATTCTATATACAAGCTAGCTTGACAAGCTTCAACCCAAACCTTAAGTAATTTCATCTCTGTTACTCTTTAGGAAAGTGACAGCCCTCCCACTGTGCTCTGCTCTACCTGATCTCCAGGGGAGGCTTGGTCCTGTATTTGAGGGTTAACATACTGAGGATACTCCTGAGGCAATTCATCTCTCACTCTCTCTTCTCTCATAAAAAATGACAGCTGCTTGGAAAACATGTTCTAAAGGAACAATGACAGAAAAGAAAATGTCTAACCAGGACAAAGTGCTAATCATAATACTGCAGGCTTCAGTGAGAACTCCAGGCAAAAGGTACCAAGTGAAGATATTCTGATACATTTTGATTTGAATGAGAACATTACACTTTAAGACCAACTCTGTAGATCTTAATTTTTCATCCCAAATTATGTATAGAATAGTCTGACAAACTCCTCAAATTTTAAGCAATTTAGGATCTGCTACCTCCTACATTATTCATGTAGGGGTAATATGCTTGTGGTAATACTATGGGCTTCAGCATAAGTTGCAATGTCATCTTAGTAAATTAAAATAGTCTAACCAATTTTACAATAAGAATATAAAGATGATTTATCAGCCGTATGAATGACAGAACTGATTGATACAGTTCACTAGACCAGGGAATTTTGCACCTGACTCTAAAGTTCACATTATCAGCTGTTTAGAATATCTAAAATCCAGTCACTTTATTTATTGTTTTATCTCTTATTCTGCTCTACCTGATTTCTGACGAAGGCTTGGTCCTGGAGTTTAGGAGGCAGATACCGATGACCCGCCAGAGAAAAGTCACCTCTCCCTTTCTCATTTATCATATCAGAATATGGCTCCTTGAAGCATACTTTCTAAAAGAGAAAAATATACAAACTATAAATTGTCTGATAGGAGTAATATGATAGCAATAATAGTCTAAGCTTTACTGAGAACCTTCTGGTAATTTTTAAAACTCAAGATAGTGAAATATTATGGAATGAAACAGAAAACTTTTTGTCAGTTCTGAAGTCTAGCTGAGAACAATTTTTGCAAACTAAATCTTAAACAATTCAGTTCCTGCTGGTCTCTCTCCTTTTTCTGTTTCACCTTGCCCCAGATGGAGGCCTGATTCTGAAGCCTGTGGAGAAGATCCTAATGGACATCCAGAGGAAATACCTCTCTTCCTCTCCTACCTATCAAATTTGATGCTGGCTGCTTCAAATTTGCTTTCTAAAAAAGAACAAACAGAATATCAATTGTTTAGTTAAGAAAGACTAGTTAACTAATAATACTTTAGGCTATAGTGAGAATTCTGGAGTTAACAGAGTATAACTGGACATCTTATGGAATAAAATAAAACACTAGACTCTAGTCCACATAAGCTCAGCCACAACCCTAAGTAATTTGCTTCCTACTGATCCCTTTTTTCTTCCTTTTGTTCTAATTGATCTCTGGTGGAGGGCTGGCCTTGGAACCTGGGTAAGCGATACTGCTGGACACTTGTGAGCCACTCTTTTTTCCATCTTTCAGCTGTCAAAGCAGATGATAGCTGCCAGTAGTTTTCCTAATGAAGATTAAAAAGTAAATTGTCCAGACAGGGGTAATATGCTGTTGATAATACTTTAACACAATGAGAAGCCTGGAATTTTTAGAAATCAATCAGGAAACTACTTTCTTCCAACTATGAATCCCCAAATCAGCTGCAATATAGCCCTTGCAAATCCTACGCCAAACTTTAAGTACCTTACTTCTTGTTATATCTCCTTTCCACTCTATTTTACCTGATATCTGGATAGAAAATCCTGGTCCTGACATTTGGGCAGAGCATTCTCATCTTTCGGGAAAACATTCTGATATTTGGGTAGAGAATGCTGGTTTTGACATCTGTGTAGAATATTCTGGTCTTTGGCAAGAACATGCTGGTCTTTGCGTAGAAAATGTTGGTCCTGACGTTTGAGTAGAATACTCTGATCTTTGGGTGGAAAAGCCTGATTTGGTGATAGAAAATCCCGGGCTTCCAATATAATACTCCCATCTTCTAGTTCAGTACTCTGGACTTCCAGCATAATACTCTGAGTTTCTGTCTTAACAACTGGGACGTCAGGCTCAACGGCCTGGGCTTCGGGCTCAACAGCTTGGCCTTCCGGTTCAATAGCCTGGGTGTCTGACTCAACACTCTGGACTTCCACCTCGATATTCTGGACTCTTGTCAAATTACTCTGGGTGTCCAGCAGATCACCTCGGGCTTCTGAAAGATAATCCTGGGTTTCTGGAAGAATATCCTGAAGGCCATGAAGATGTAACTTCTTTAGCTCTTCCTCTTCCATCACAGCAAATAATGGATTTTTGAATTGTACTTTCTAAAAGTGAATATAAACATCAAATATAGAATAGGTAGTAGCAACGCTCTACGTTTTCCATGAGATTCCTAAAATAATCTTAAAAAGATATGATAGTCAATAAAATTATTAGAATAAAATGTGAAATTATACTCTTTGCTCAACTTAACCTAAATCTACAATCCCAAACTAGTACAACAGTACTGGCATCTGTAATCCAAATCATAATTAGTTTAATTTCCATTGTACTCAGTACTGGCACGCCTACTGTAAATGACAATTAGTTTAATTTCTATTATACTATCTCCTTTTACTCTGCTTTACCCGCTCTCTGCTGAAAGGTTTGTCCTTGTCTTCAGAAAGGAGATCCTGCTGGTCCCACGAAAACAAACTTTCTCTCTCTTTCTTGTCTATCATAATAGATGAAGATTCCTCAGAGTCGTGTTCCTAAAGAACACACAAACAAGAATGAAAAAAAAAGAAACAATGTAACTGCAATAAAATCCTAGGCTAATGCACACGACTAATTTAATTTTAGTAGGTCAGTATAGTCAAATAGTATAAAAACAGGACATCACAAAAGAAGTGCAAGACTATCCACTGAAGAGTGGGTCAATATGGCAGGGTAGGTTAATGCAGTGCTCGCCTCCTCCACTCCACAACTGCATTAAAATGACAACTAAATTATAATCAACTTGGAGAACCACCTGAAGTCTTGCTGAACATATCATCTATAACTGAAGATATAAAAACGGGCCACATCGAGACCAGTAGGAGGGGTGGAGGTGAGAAATGGGCTAGCCCCACACCCATGCCTAGCAGGTGAGCTTCAGGAGGGATATCTCAGCTGCAGAGGTCCCCCTGAACCCTGAAGGAGCAAGGGGATGCAGCCCCACACTGGGGCTCCCCAACCCAGGGTTCCAGGGCCAAAAAAAGGAGTCCCACAAAATGGGACTATAAAAATCAGTGGGAATTCTGACCACCTGGGTGACATGGAAGGAACCCGGAAACTCAGATGTCCCTTTAAAGAGCCAGTGCATTGACTCACTTGTTCACAGATACCCTGGCTCCAGTAGAGGGTCAGCAGCTTAGAAGGTGCAAGAGACATATGGGTAAAGACTGAGTTGTGTGGCTTCAGGGCAAGGACTGGAGGGACAGCCGCCATTGACCCTTTGTCAGACCCTCTTCCTGTGTAGTCGACAGGTGGGCGTCACCTTGCCTACGCTGAACCCTCTCCCTACCGTGGCCAATTCTGAATTTGGCCAATTCTGAATTTGCATTGACCCGGTGAGATCAGCTCACTCTACCCCGTGGCTCACTGGGGCCCTGCCCCACGGCTTGCAAACTGCCTGCATTGTGCTTGTTGCCCAGCAACCAATTCCACCCTGCACTCTATAGAAGGCACATTCAACAGCAATTAATAGTCCTCAGCTCACTAGGCTTCTGCACCTTGGAATAAACTGTCGGTGGTGGACAGCCAGCACCTGCCTGAGTTGAGTATTTCTTAGGCAGGTCTCGGAGGTTTATGGGCCTGAGGCGGGCAGGGGGTTGGCCTCAATGTGATCAGAGACTTTTGCAAGAGGCCAGAGGTTCAACTCTGGCACCAAACCTGAATCTGCACTGGCCAAGTGATATCTGCTCACTTTACCCCATGACTTCCTGGGTTCCAGCCCCACCCAATTCTCATGTCACTCAAAGGTTCTATTAATTGCTGAGCCTTACAGGCAGCTGGCAAGCAGCCTCAGGCCTTGGAGTGCCCTAGACCTTTAGCTAAGCTGCCCCAGGACAAGTACTGGTGGCAGCAAGCCTTAGTTCAGTGTGGTCTCTCACACTTACCTCCAGGTCTAGCACAGGTTGTGACTAGCCACAGACCGCTTTATATCTCCTACAAGATAGCCTTAGGCAGTCAAGCAGCAGCTGACTTTGGCCTGCACAGGAGCCCCTCCCGAGGGGCCACAGGACCAACACATCCGGAGGCTGGCATCAGACCACAACAGAGCACCACCTGATTAGCCCCACAAGTGGCACACCCAAAGGCTGGTCTCAACAGGTACGCAAGGCTGCTGGGGTGAATCCTACTCCATGAGGTCAGCTCCCACACAGCAGCTCATATCCTGTGGACATGGCCAATTCTCACAGCCAGTCAACCTAAAAGTCAAACCCATTCACTGACATGCTAACAGCAATCACAGCTTAACTACAACAGTGGAACACCTACAGCTCACACAAGGGATAGTCCCCAGAGCTTCCAGTGCAGGCAATCAGGGAGACTGCACCACTGGGCCACACAGAGCACCTCTACATCAGGCCACCTGACCAAGACTGGGAGACGTAACATATCTACTTAATACATAGAAATGAACACAGAAAGGCAACTAAAACGAGGAAACAAAACAAAAAAAAATGTCGCAAATAAAACAACAGAAGAAAACTCCAGAAAAAAAACTAAACGAAATGAAGGCAAATAACCGTACAGATACAGAGTTCAAAACACTGGTTATAAGGAACTTAGGGGAGAATAGATGACCTCAGTGAGAACTTGAACAGAGAGATAGCATACAAAAGGACACAGAAACCGTAAAAAAAAAAATAGTCAGTAATGAGGAATACAATAACTAAAATGAAGAATATTCTAGAATGAATCAATAGTAGATTAGAGGAAGCAGAGGACTGAATCAGCAATTTGGAAGACATAGTAGTAGAAAACACCCAATTGGAACAGCAACAAGAAAAAAAAAATTTTAAATGAGTAACGTTTGAGAGACCTCTGAGACAACTTCAAACATATCAACTTTCACATCTTAGGGGTACCAGAAGGAGAAGAGAGAACATAAGGGATTGAGAACCTATTTGAAGAAATAATGACAGAAACGTCCCTAACCTGGTAAAGAAAATAGACATACAACCCCAGGAAGTGCAAAGAGTCCCAAACAAGAAGAACCCAAACAAACCCACGCAAAGACACAACATAATTAAAATGCCAAAGGTTAAAGACAAAGAGAGAATTCTAAAAGCAGCAAGAGAAAGACAGCTAGTTATTTACCATGGTACTTCCATAAGAATAACAGCTGATTACTCAACAGAAACCTAAGGGATTGGCACAAAATATTCGAAGTGATGAAAAGCAAGAACCTACAAGCAAGACTACTCCGAAGCTTCTAAGCTAAAAGATTTCATCACTAACAAGCCAATCTCCCAAGACTGAGTCAAGAAACAGAAAATAGGAACCAACCGATTACCTCTAAAGAAATCAAATCAGTAATCAAAAAATTCCAAAAAACAAGAGTCCTCAGCCAGATGGTTTCACGGATGAATTTTACCAAACATTGAAAGAAGAACTAACACCCATTCTTCTCAAACTATTCCAAAGAAATTCAAAAGGAGGGAAGGTCCCCAAACTGATTTTATGAGACCATCATTAGCCTGATTCCAAAACCAAAGAAATTACAAAAAAAAGAAAACTATAGGCTGATATCCCTGATAAAGATAGATGCAAAAATCTTCAACAAAATATTAGCAAACCAAATTCAGTAGTATATTAAAAAGATCATATCAAGTTGGATTTATTCCCGGATGCAAGGTTGGTTCAGTATCTGCAAATCAATTAATGTGATATACCACATAAACAAACTGAAAGATAAAAATTGTATATGATCATCTAGCGTCCATTTATGATAAAAACTCTCAGCAAAGTGGGAGTAGAGTGAACATACCTCAACATAATAAAGGTCACATATGACAAACCTACAGCCAACATCATACTCAGTTACAAAAAGCTAAAAGCATTTTCCTTAAGATCAGGAACAAGACAAGGATACCCACTTTCACTACTTTTATTCAACATAGTATTAGAAGTCCTAGCTACAGCAATCAGACAAGAAAGAAATAAAAGGCAACCAAATTGGAAAGGCTTAAGTAAAACTGTCATTATTTGCAGATGACAGGATACTATATAGAGATAACCCTAAAGATTCCACCAAAAAACTATTAAAACTGATCAATGAATTCAGTAAAGTAGCATGTTACAAAATTAATATTCTGAAGTCAGTTGCATTTTCATACACCAATAATGAACTACCAAAAAGAGAAATTAAGAAAACTATCCCATTTACAATTTCATCAGAAACAATTAAATATCATAGGAATAAATTTAACCAAGGAGATAAAAGACCTGTACTTGGAAAATTATAAGCCTTTAAAAAAAAGAAACTGAAGAAAATATAAATAAATAAAAACATATACCATGCTCATGGTTAGAAAGAATTACCATTGTTAAAATGACTATACTACCCAAAGGAATTTAAAGATTCAATGCAATCTCTATCAAAATAACCATAACATTTTTCAGAAGACTAGAACAAATAATCCTAAAATTTATATAGAACCATAAAAGATCCCAAATAGCCATGACAATAGTGAGAAAAAAGAACCAAGCTAGAAGTATCACACTACCTGATATCAAACTATACTACAAGCTTATAGTAATCAAAACAGCATAGTACTGTCATAAAAAACAGACACATAGATCAATGGAACAGAATAGAGAAGCCAGAAATAAACCATGCTTACACATTCATTTAATATATGACAAAGGAGACAAGAATATACAATGGGGTAAAGACAGTCTCTTCCATAAACGATGTTGGATAAACTGGATAGATACATGCAAAAAAATGAAATTGGACCACCTTCTTATACCACATACAAGAATAAACTCAAAACTGATTAAAGGCGTAAATGTAAGACCCAAAACCATAAAACTCCTAGAAGAAAACATAGGTAGTAAACTCTCTGACATTGCTCTTAGTAATTTTTTTTCTTATATATATCCTCAGGCAAGAAAAAATAAACAAATGGGACTACATAAAAATAAAACATTTTTGCACAGCAAAGGAAAACATCAACAAAACAAAAAGACAACCTACTGAATGAGAGAACATATTTGCCTATGATACATCAGATAAGGGGTTAATAACTAAAATTTATAAAGAACTCATACAACTCAACACCAAAAAAATAAACAATCCAATTAAAAAATGGACCAAAGATCTGAATAGGTATTTCTCTGAAGAGGACATACATCTTTTCATAGACATATGAAAAGATGCTCAAGCTCACTAATTATCAGAGAAATGCAAATCAAAACCACAATGAGATATCACCTCATACCTGTCAGAATGGCTATAATCAATAAATCAAAAAACAGCAAGTGTTAGCGAGGATGTGGAGAAAAGGGAACCCTCGTATGCTGTTGGTGGGATTGCAAATTGGTACAGCCACAATGAAAAACAGTTTGGAGGTTCCTCAAAAAATTAAAAATAAGACTACCGTATGACCTAGCAATTGCACTTCCAGGTATTTATCTCGAGAAACCAAAATACTAATTCAAAACAATTTATGTACCCCTGTGTTCACTGCAGCATTATTTACAATAGTCAAGATATGGAAGCAACCTAAGTGCCCACCAACAGATAATTGGATAAAGAAGTTATGGTACATATATACAATGGAATATTGTATATATTTCAGTCAAAAAAAAATTGAATTCATGTCATTTGCAACAACACGAATGGACCTAAAGGATATTATGCTAAGTTAAATAAGTCAGACAGAAAAACAAATACCATATGATTTCACTTATATGTGGAATTTAAGGAACAAAATAAATGAACAAACAAAATGAAAACAGACTCATAAATACAGAGAACAAACTGGTGATGGCCAGACAGTAGGGGAATTGGGGGACTGGGTGAAAAATGTGAAGGGATTAAGAAGTACAAATTTGTAAATTTTTTAGTAAAAACCAGTCATGGGGTGTGGAGTACAGCATAGGGAAAATAGTCAATAATATTATAATAACTATGTATAGTGCCAAGAGGATACTAAACTGATCGTGAGGATCACTTCGTAAATTATACTAATATCTAACCACTGTGCTATATGCCTGAAGCTAATATAAAAATAATTTTTTTTAAAGTACAGCCATAAAAAAGACTATACACTGAAAACTATAAAACATTGTAGAAAGAAACTAAAGAAAATCTAAATAAATGGAAAGAATTTCATGTTTATGGATCTCAGAAGACAATATTGTAAAGACAGTGATAAATCCTTATAAGAACAGTCAAGTAATGTTCAACGAGAGTGTCAAGACAATTAAATAGAGAAAGAATAGTTTTTCAACAAATGGTACTGGGACAAGTGGATACCTACATGCAAAAGAATTAAGTCAGAATGCTTCCTCACAAAAAAGTTAATATAAAAATTAACTCACAATGGATCATAGACCTAAATGTAACAGCCAGAGCTATAAAATTATTAAAATACAAGAGAAAATCTCTACAACCTCAGATTAAGCAGTAGTTTATTAAATACTATACCAAAAGCACAACAAAAGAAAAAATAGACAAATTGGACTACGCCAAAATTAAAAATTTTGTGCTACAAATGACAGCATTAAGAAAGTGAAATGACACAGAATGGGAGAAAATATGTGCAAATTATGTATTTGATAAGGAACTTGTATCCAGAATATATAAGGAACTCTTACAACTTGATAATAAAAAGACAAATTAAAAATGGGCACCACATCTGAATAGACTTTTCCTCCACAAGAGGTATAGAAATGGGCAAATGAAAAGATACTCAAGGTCTAGAAAGCAATATGCTCATGATACTAAGCTGAGTTTTTGTGAAAGATCTAGAGTGATCTTAGCAGGCGATGGCAGTATAACACAGGAAAATGGATAACAAATAGTTCTTCAAATACACAAACGAGTCACTCACACATCAAACATATGGAGGGAGATAGGCTGGTAGGAGGCATATTAACTTTATAAATGACAATTTGCCCCTATTCTAGCCAATAACAGTTTTAGAAGGCTTATGATTTTCGTCTTAGTGACCTGACAGCAGGTAAGCAAGTCTGTCTTCTAATTGTATCTCCATGTCTGGAAAAACAATAACAATCAAACAGGTTCTAAAGTCAGTAAAAATAAGTCTAACAAGAAAATGAAAGCAGAGTTCAGCTGGGTTACAGAGTTTTCTCCTTTCTGACTGGCCACTTCATATAACTGAGGAGGTAGAAACTGTTTATATTTGAGGAAAAGACTGCATACTTGATATAAGTGATAAGAAAAATGTCGCTAATTTCTTATATCCTTTTCAATTATATGGAGATTTATTTCTGATGTTATACCTGAAAAACACACATGCATTCTTTGGAAGCAAGCAGCCAGCCTGAATCCATCATTACCATTTATTACACTTAAATGGCACCTTTGACGTATAAAACCGGTTTATACAAGGATGTTATCTCTGACTTAATCCTCCTTTCTACTAGATAATTATTTCAGTCAGACCTGTGAACAGGACTCTTTCTAAAAAAACAATTGAAAGGCCTGAGCACATTCTACACAATATAAAATATCAATCTCTAGGATCTGATAACCCTTTTATTTTTGGTTTATTAAAATATGTCTAATCTCATTTTAACAGTCAGTCTAATAGCCCAAACTATATTATGGCCAAATCCAGGGTAGATATGAAAATTGTTAAGATATCAAACCACTGAGGAGAATTTAGGTACAAAAGAAGCTCTACCTTGAGTTACAACAAGGCAATGCTAGAAAAAGGTAACCATACTGAATGCATCTAAAATGGAAGGCCATGTATGAATATACGTCCATGCTTATATTTTGATATTTAACTATAAATTTCTTAATTATCACTAAAGAGGGAGACATCATAGTTTAGTATTCTACCAACTGCAAGCATATGAGTCAAATGTTTTTGACTGTTGTGTTGAGATACCTAAGGAAAAAATACATAAATAAGATACATATGTATAATCTAGAAAAATGTACAAGAATACCAATTAGAAAGCAAAACTGAGAAAGAGCTAAAAAAGACAGAGTTGACGACAGCAAAAAAAAATAAAGTAAAAAAGACTGAATGGTCCATTTTTCTGGACGCTGCCTATCAAAACTTGAAATTAATCCCATAATTAAATAAACACAGGAAAGCACGTGAGTTTACCATCCAAATTTGTGAACACTGAAATAAGTAGGCACCAAAACAGTGTTATTTTATAAATATAGCCTTGAGCAACCTTTTAAGTCTAGCTCCACATCTGGGTTCCAATTTTTCAATCTTACCTTATATTTTAAATCAAAAGAATTTCTTCTTAAAAAATACTGGTATTGATTTTTTCCTAATTAGAAAGTGAAATATATATACATTATGGGAAAATTTTAAAGTAAAGAAAACCAAGAGAAGAAAATAAAAATCACCTGCAATAACACTACCCAGAAATAATCAGTATTCTTTCCAGCTTCTGTCTATGCACATAGCATTCTCTCCCCATCTCTTTATTTTATTTTTGTCATAGCAATTATCATTTGAAATTATATTCTATATCTATGTGCTTTTTATTATATGCTTCCCCACTAGGACAGAAGCTCCTTGAGGGATCTTAGTCTATCTTTTTTCACCACTTTAAGTCTTGGTCCTAGAACAATGCTTGGCAATTGTAGACCTTCCATAAATATTTATTGAATAAATTTTTTTAATTAAAATTATATTGTATATAATTTTATATCCTACTTTTTTGATTGAACTTTATATCACAGATACTTTCCCTTGTCTTCAGATATTTTTTAAAAGCATGATATTTTTTAGAATGGCCATATATGGATACATTATAATTTTTAACCATTCCCTACTGTTGGATATTTACAGTTATTTTCAATTATTTTACAATTCTAAATAGTGTTGCTATATAAATAAATTTTTATCTTTTTTATCTTATTTTTTTTAATTTATTAGAAATTAATTTACCTCTTGGGTGGGAAAGCTTTTCCTTGTACCATCTGGAAACACTGATGTATTATTTTTACTCACAGTTTTAAAAGATGCCAGCCGGTGACGTGCCTGTTTCATGGTTTGACTAAGCTGTCAGAGAAAGGGGGGGAGAAAAGGAAACAAAAACAAGCTAAAGTCTTAATACCAAATTCACTAAAGTGTTCCAACAGGAAAACAGGTCCTTATTATTAAAAAAATGCCAGAGCTAAGACAAGAAGATTACTTGTAAAGGAGATTGTGATCTGATAAGTGTTTTTACAACATTGTTTATTATTCTAAGAGACTGTATTTCATAACTTGTTTAAATGTATTCTTTATATTAAGTATGTATACAAAAAAATATCAAAACCTAAAAGTTTGAATTAATACACTTGGAAATTATCCAGCAGACACATTCCTTACCTTTCATTCGTCTTCTCAATAAGAAATTATTTCTTCAACTGGTCCTTGCATGTCTAGTTACTTTTCCTCACTCTATTGAAGTGATGAAATATAGAAGATTCTATTCCTAGTCCTCAAATCCTTTTCTCCTGTTTACATGAACCCCTTCTTCATTCCCACATGTGAAGACTGTAGTTATTTAAAGTCTTCTCAAATTCCTGGAAGGCTTCCTAAGTTAACTTAGAACACAAACTCAAACACCTCAGCAGATCTAATTTGTTTTAAGTACTCTATAAGTAACAGCTGACGATGAGTATTAATATGTTGACTTTCTGTTCATTCCTTATCTCTACCTAGTAATTTTAGTAAGTGCCTAATTTTGATTTTTTTTCCCAGAGAAGCACAGCCTATTTCATATCTCACAAATCTGTACAGAATGTTCCTTTAAGGAAAACACAGAAATGAATGGGGTATCATTTTTTTAGGCTGAGCACTACATATGGAAGAAAAGCATATCCCTATACTACTCAGCAAAAGTATAACCAAGCCAATACCAGCTCTAACCCATCCAGTGAAAGTTTATGTTATCCATTGTTCCTTAAAGGGAAATCACAACTATGATTTACTGATATAAATAATAAATACTTTATGATTTTTACTAATAGTGAGCTAAGGATAAAAACACTCTCTCACCACCAATGCTGTTTCCTTACAGCATGTCATCTCTGTTTTGCTCTCGCTTCTAGAAGGTGTACACCTCTAGCCAGCGAAATCACCTTGAAACAGTACTCTTTATACCACTAAGAGAGAGATTTATAAATTTAGTTAGCACAGAGTGGCTACAGGGGTCAAGCTAGTTACTCACAATGCAAAAAGAGATATATGTACAGTTGAGGTTATGAAAAAATACAGAGCCATGAATATGCTTGCTTTACTCATTGCCAAGTATGATACATATTATTGTCCTGCTCAATGTAACAGATTTAAGTTAGGATACATAATCTTCATTTCTCATCAAGTCCAAATCTCTGTTAGAGTCACAGATTGATTAGTCCTGTGAACAGGACATTTCAAATGGGCCAGCAGTTGGAATATATATTATATCCATTCTGTTTCTCTGTCATTACCATAACCTATCATCAAGCCTCAACCAAAAGGTCCGTTCGATGACCTGCTGTGAGGACTGTAGTAGGCTGAGTAACAGTCACCCAAAGTTATCCGGTCCCAATCCCTGAAACCTTTAAATGTTACTTTATCAGGAAAAAGGGCCTTTGCAAGATATGATTAGTTAAGGATCTAGAGATGAGATAATTCTGAATTATCTAGATGGGCCCTAAATGCCATCACAAATATCCTAATAAGAGGTAGAAGAAGATTTGACATACAGAAGGCGTTAAGGTGATGTGAAGACAGAGGAAGAGGTTGGTATGATATGGCCACAAGCAAAGGAATACCAGCAGATATCAAAAGCTGGAAGAGTAAAGAAACAAATTTTCCGCTAGAATCTGTGGAAGGAGCACAGCCCTACTGACATCTTGATTTTGGCTCAGTGAAACTGATTTTGGACTTCTGGCCTTAAGAACTGTGAGAGAATAAATTTCTGTCATTTGAAGCCACTAAGTTTAAGGATCAAGTAAAAACATAAGCATTAAACAAAAACACAGAAAATAAGAGGATGTTATAAATCAAATTATGTAAAATGAATAGGTATATAAGCACATTTCTTATTGCAAGATAGTGGTGATCACTACATATATTTGTGAGTGCATATATGTATGTATGCATTTGTATGTGAGCACATGTACATATATTTACATATGTAAGTTTAAACATACATGTGTGTGTGCACATGTGGTGTATGTATGTGTGTGACTACATAAACAAAAAATTTGACCAAAAGTCTTTTGTATACTGAAAGCTTAGGCACAGTTTTCATTCTTTTGTAGCTATTGTTATTAACAAAGACTTTAAAACTCCCTTATGGAAATGAGTTATTCATTTTATAGAAAACTTAGCACCTGTTTAACTACCGATAAGCAAAGGGATTCTGACTGATAAAATAAAAATTTACTATATAAACAAATTTTGAGACTTAAATCTTAAAACTGAAAGCAAACAATGGTCACATATTAAAACAAAATTTAAAACTTCAAATACAAAGGATAAAATTTGACAAATATGCAGATATCCCCATTCATGGTTCATATTTTCTTCAGTTCTTTTTAATTTTTTCATGCAACTGTTTTAGACAATTAGGGATTAGAAAGAAGAAACATATGTAATTGTATAAATGAAACAACGTAGTAATACTATGCAGATCATGGAAAATGAGTATAAATGACATCTAACATTCATAGACTATCACCTACTCTATTGCCAGGCAGACCTTATACCAATTTTAAATGTACATTAATGCCATAAAAATCTTCCCAAAGTTAAATTCTATTCAAGTATAATGTAGTTTATTGACAAATAATAGCGTACTGATTTTTAAATGCGTTCAGCTTTTCAATGACCACAAAAATAGTACACAATTAAAACTTCAACTCACATGAGCCCCTAGGTATAGCCCATGAACACAATGCAAATACATCAATTACTTTAGCTTTCTTTTATCATTAAGTAGGCATACTAAGCTATAGGGTCGCCAGTAACCTAGACCTAATGCAAAAAGGCAGGCTGGGCCAATAAAGACTCATCTAACACAATGAACTAGGAAGTAGAGAGAAAGTCAGAGACAGGAAGTAAACCTAAAAGGTCATAAGCTGGAGAAAAGAGGCTAAAAAAGCTTCAAGTATGCCAAAGCTTCAGAGCTATGATGATGAGAAAACTAGTTAGCAGTAGAAAAATCAGTAAATAAGAGAGAAGCATACATGTTGAGACAGGGTAACCAACTTCCCAGTTTACCAGAACTATCCCAGGTTTAGCACTGAAAGTCTCATGTCCTGGGAAACCCTTCAATCTCAGGTAGATAGAGAAGGTTGGTCAGCCTAGGAGAACGAGTGAATCGACCAAGTTAATGATCAAATGCTAGTGTGAAAATCAAAGATCCCAGTTGTTGGGATCATTGGAGCTACCTCAGATTCAGAAAAACTCTCTGGCTGCTGAATCCTTAAGGAAGTTAGGATATGCATAAATTTTTGACTTTGCCCTTATTACCACATGCATATTCTTAAAGTAAACATTCTCCTTGCTTGGGTTAGCCTGAATTCTTACAGCCAAAAGCCTGAAACACCGGTTTTTTCAATGATAGATTACTGAAAACTTAGCAGGTTATTCCAATTCAATTATGGTGAATACACAATGCAATATACAAATGACATTTTATTGAATTGTACACTTGAAATCTACATAATTTTATTAACCAATGTCACCCTAATAAATTCAATAAAATATAAAAAAAAGAGAGAATAAAAAAATTTTTTAAAGATAAGAGATTCAGTAAGAAACAAATAAAAAGCTGGAATATACCATACCAGAAAGTGGTAAACTTAATAGTCTAGAGATAAATAAAAAGTTATTACATGGTGAGAATGAAACAATGATCAGTTGTGTTCTTTAATTCCCCACCAAAATGAAGTTATCAAGAAACACAACAGGAATTCAATCCCTAGAGATAAAAGTCAGTCCTAACAAAAAGCAAGGGGCTGGGCTAATTCCTAACTTTAGGTGCCCAGTCTTATCTTATCTTAGAATAAGCAGACATTAGGAATATAGATATCCAAAAGGAGAAAAATGATAGCTCTAATCAAACACTTGAAGTGTTCTTAGGGATCACCATGGTATTTTGTCTTCTATTACTTAAGAGTACAAAACTAGGCTCAATAGGTAAAAATCATAGGGAGGAAGACTTTCACTCAATATATTGAAAAAATACTAGTAATAATTTCAAGCCTTCTAAAAATGAAATAAATAGTCTAAAAAGTAATGAGTTGCTCAACAGTGGCAGTGTTCTAGCAGAAACTAGATGGCTATATATATATTTGAGACATAAAAAGAATTCCTTAGAGAAAGGTTAAACTAGATAGATAATGTCTTTTCTTTTCTAAGATTTAAAATGTAATAAATTCAAACATACTAGAAACTTCAAAGATATAGAGTAGACAGACTACAATAATGAACGCCCACATAAACAGTAACCAGTTTGAACATATCAACTCCTAGCCAGTCTTGCTTTATCTATAATATCCTACTTTATCTCACCTTTATATTATTTTGAAGTATAGCCCAGATGTCAAGTCATTTCATCCTTAAATATTTCAATAGGTCAGATAAACTTTTAAAACCCTTCCAACTCCAAGATTCTACATTTCTATAGTTCCAAGACAAAAGAAAATTGAAAAATCCACTGACATTTATAAAGTGAACTACATTTACCGTTTACTCAACCAGTTCTAGATAAATCAAGGGAGTTAGCCCTTGAACAGTCTCAATGGCTAGTTCTTAGTGACATCTAGTGAATAAAAACTGCAACACAAATGGTAAGATTAAAAAGCATCTATTGTCCTGGTATTGTACAGACATAAGTTTATAGGCTTAAAGTAGTTTAAGACCCTGAACATTCTTCAATAGTTCATCTTCTTTTAAGAAAAAAACAGAGTATAAAAACTTTTTTAAATTTTGTAACATGTAAGAGTTTTCATAACCTGATTTCCTCTTACCTAACACAATCTCATTTTGTGTTATTCTCCTCTATAAACTATTAATTAGAAAGGTGCCATCACATGTTCTAGACTTTTCAATGTTCCTCCTATCTCAAAATTCTCTTGACTTTACCAATTCAATTCAGGTTACCAATTCAAAATATATAGCTCAATTCTACCTCTTCTAGGGGTTCTTCCCCAACTATTTCCATGGAAGTTAAAAAATTTTGAACTCCCATAGCACAACCTTATCATCAAATACAGTAAATTTACTCTATAGTAATCTCTTATAGATTAGAGTTCTATTTGCTTTGTATCTCTTCTTGTACATATAAACCCGCAAAGGGTCCTATTTCACATTTCACTAGTATCCCTACAACATTTAACAAACAGTACATTCAAATATCTGTGAACAAATCCCCGTGTGTTCTGTTTATGTATTTATTATACAGATGAAGTAAAATCTGCAATACAATGGAGTTTGTAGCTACAAGCACCATGAAGGCAAGGACTGCATGTGGCTTAGTCCATGTCTTATCCTTTGTACTTTATTCAGTGCCTGGTTCAATAAATATTTGCTCAACAAATTGTTCAAAATCTTAAAATACAAAAATGATTACAAAAATAATGACTATAAAGGAGTGACAAGAAAAAGTCATAGTCTGAGACAAAGAAAAATAACTTTTTAAGTATTTCAATATAAAGTATGCTTTTGTAAAGCTTTCCCTATTTATGCTAATAGCACAGTCAGATTTCCTTCATACTTTAGACCAAGCACATTAGCAGTTACACAACTTTTATTTTTCACATAATCATTATTTACATTTTTCTCTCCTCTCACTATCCCTGGGTATACATTTTTAAGTAATAAAATGAAAAATAATCCCAAAGTAGAGCTGAAAAATATGATATCAATTGGACAAAAGCTCGGGCACACTAAGGGGTAGTTGACTGGATGGCAACAAGTGATTTGAGTGGATGAATCTACCTACAGTAGTTAATTTTTAAATACTGGGTATATAAAATGAATCATTAAATAAAAGTTACATTTTTAAAAAAAATTCTGAATATGTTGAGAGTTCACTATATTATTATTTAACCTATAAATCTATTTATTGTGCAAGTCAGATAAAAGGACAGAAAAAAGCAAAAAATTAACAAATGAAATGCCCCATATATATACTGAACCTTTTTGTAACAGAGGTTAGGAATCACTTCTGTCCATATGCTACAAAGTTGAGAGTAACTTACCCACAACACAATTCCAGTGTAACTGGGAAAATCTATGTTCTTTGACCCAAAGCTCTTTCTAATTAAGTTCTGAACTCTGACACTTTGGTACTTTACATTAGATGATTCTAAAGTGTCTTACCAAAAATAAATATAAATTTAAGTACACACACACACACATATATACACATATAGAAACATCCCACCATTCTCCACTTATAAAGGTAAAAAAATGTGATAAAAAACTATGGAGTGGAACGTGATTCCTCCTTCTCTCCACTTCATATCCTAGGTATGTCATACAACTAAAAAAATCGTGGACATAAAATAAAATGAATATGTACTTACAGCCTGGGCTTGTTGATGGAATAATCGATTCTGATTTTCGCTATCTTCTATTCCACCCCCAAGCATCCGGGAAGGCAGTAACCTAGCACTTTCAATAGCAGCATTCAAATTGTTTGGAAAAACACTTGTTCTTCTAGGAGTTAAGCATGCTGGATCTGAAGAATACATAGCTATAGAACCTTCTTTCTCTGCCTACACAAAGAAAGAAAGAGCGAGATGAGTCTATTGAGGTTCCACTCCAGTGAAATAATTCCTATAAGCCCCCCAAAAGATTTAAGATCAGCATTGGGGATTGGTAGGGAAAAAGAACCAACATTTACCAGGCAGCTACCATGTGCTAATAATTTACATTATCTCATCTAATTCTCACAACAATCTTATGAAACAAGTATCATATCTCCATTTTATAGGTGAAGAAGCTACTGTCCAGAGAAGATAAGTAATTAGGCCAAGATCGTTTAGCTAATAAAATAACATAAGCCAGGTTAGCATCACGGCGGAGTGAGATGACCTCTTTTTATTTCCCCTTAAATTTATAACAAGTCAAACATCTATAAACCAATGAAGTTTCTTCTGCTTAACACACAAACACACCTCAGAGATGCACGCATCAGTACATCTGAAGGTGCATTTATCAGAACAGGTAGGGGAGGCAGAACAGAGGGAAGGATAGAGATGGTGTCCACAAACACAGTTCTAAAGCAGCACTAGCCCCAGCTAATGCAATAAGGTTGGAGAAGTTGGAGTGCAGCCCCCACACTGTAGCCCAACAGAGGTTAAGGGAGGGCAGAAGCAGCATGGTGGCCAAGAATCTGTCTCCTCCCCCTCCCCCAACTGCGAATGAGAGGAGACCCAGTAGCAGCCACCAAGATGTGTCTAACATCACAGTGGTGCTGGCGACCATTAGAAACAAGGGGCAGCACTATGGGCTCATGAACGCAGCTCCTTCCTACCTGCCACATCCCCCCACCATGGTGGTGGTGCCCCAAGACTAAGGCAACCTGGCTACAGTAGGGACACCCACTATCCTGTCTCCCAGGAGTCAATTTCCACACCAACGGTGACATCATGACCGCTGAAGAGCAAGTAAGCAGGTAAGAGGAAACAAAAACTTGTGCTATAGCACCATCTACTGGAAAGCAAAAGAAAGACCTCCAATTATCAACCTGCTGAATTGCTAAAAATCAAAACAGTAAACAAAAAGAGTCCACTATCTTAAATGCGAAGGCAGAGGAAGAACTTATCAAGTACCAGGACTAACCAAGGTAACAAGGTGGCTCAGAGAGAAAATGAAGTCTTAATAAACCAAATTCAAAGACACGAAGACTGTGATTTAAATGACAGAGAACTCAAGATTGCAGTTTTTAAAAACTCAATGAGATATAAGAAAACTCAGAAAGGCAGTTCAGTGAGCTCAGGGATAAGATTAATGAACAAAAGGAATACTTTACCAAAGAGAATGAAACTAAAAAAGAACCAAACAGAAGTTCTGGAGCTGAAGAACACAATAAATGTGAATAAAGAGCACATTAGAAAGCACTGGAAACAGAATAGATTAGATAGGAGAGACTTAGCAAGCTCAAAGATAGAAATCTAGAAATGATTCAGGTGGAAGAAGAGAGAACCAAAAGTTAAAAGAAAAAAAAAATGAAAGAACTATATGAGAACTATCAACATTAGAAAGAGCAACATAAGGGTGTCCCAGAGGAGATGAATGAGAGAGAAAAAAGGGAACAGAGCAGAGATTAAGTACATAAATAAAAAAAAAATTTTTTTTAAAGATTTCAATCCCTCAAATGCCCAGAAAATAACCCATCAAGTACCATGAATAACCAAGACAACAGGATAGTTCAGAAAGAAAATTAAAAATCTCCAGAAAATAAACTTAAAGACATGGAAGAATGTGATTTAAATGTCAGAGAATTCACAATTACAGTTCTAGATCAAGAAAATTCAGAAAGGCAGTTTAATGAGCTCAAGAACAAAATAAATGAACAGAAGACATATTTTACCAAAGAGATTTAAAAAATAGTAACTCTGGATCTGAAGAAATCAATAAATGAGATGAAAAATATATTACAGAGCTATGGAAATAGAGCAGCAGACCAGAAGAAGAAAAGAATTAATGACATAGAAGATAGAAATCTAGAAATGATTCAAGTGGAAGAAGAGAGAAAATCCAGAGTGAAAATAAATGACTAACTCTATGAGAACTATCTAACTCCTTCAGAGAGAACAATATAAGAATAAGAATAATGGGTTACCGGAGAAGAGAGGGAGAAAGGAACAGTGAACCTATTCAAACAAATAATTGACAAGAACTTCCCAAACTTATAGAAAGAGCTGGACCCTTGAATCCAAGAAGCTAACAGAACACCTAATTATCTCAATGCAAAATGACCTTCTCCAAGACACGTTATATTAAAACCGTCCGAAGTTAAAAAAGACAAGGAAACCCCTACAGATTTTCATCAGATTCCTCAGTATAAACTTTATAGGCCAAGAGAGAGTAGCATGATATATCAAAAATATTGAAAGAGGTAAACCACCAGCCTCGAATAATATATCCAGCAAAGTTATCCTTTAGGTATGAAGAAGAAATAAAGGCTTTCTCAGAGAGACAGACAGAAGCGGGAAATTCCAACTCTATTTCAGAAAAGGATATTAAACAATTACAGCATAAAAGTTAAAGGGGGGAAGGGATAACAAAAATAACTATAGCCACTGCAATTTGGTAATAAACGCACAATATAAAAAGGAATAATTTAAACAGAGCAACCAGAAAACAAAAGATAAAATGGCTGCAAAAGTCCTCATATATCAATAATCACCCTAAATGTAGATGAACTGAACTCACCAATCGAAAGGCAGAGTAGCTGGATGGATTAAAAAACAAGAACTGACTATAAAATGCCATCAAGAGACCCATTTCAGCTCCAAAGACAAACACAGGCTCAAAGTGAAGAGATGGAAAATGATACTCCAAGTATATGGTATCCAGAGAAAAGCAGGTGGTGTTGTATTTACATCAGACAAAATAGATTTCAAGACAAAAAAGATAACGAGAGACAAAGATGGACATTTTATAATGATAAAGGGCAAAACTCACAAGAAGACATAACATTTATTAATATGTGCACCCAACCTAGTAGCACCAAAATATTTAATGCAATTACTAATAGACCAATAGGGAGAAACTGACAAAAGTAGAATTATAGTACAGGACTTACATACCCCATTGACAGCAATGGATAAATCATCCAAACAGAAAGCCAATAAGGAAATATCAGCTTTCAGTGACACAGTAGACCAGAGGGACTAAATAGATATTTATAGAACTTTCCATACAAAATAACAAAATACACATTCTGTGCATACAGAACATTCTCAAAGACAGACCATATGTTCGGACATAAAACCTGTCTCAATAAATTTAGGAAGACTGAAATTATATCAAGCATCTTTTATGACCACAATGTTATGAAACTAGAAATCAACTACAAGAAGAAAGCTGGAAAAATCACAAATATGTGAAGATTAAGCAACATGCTAATGAAGAACTAACTATTGGGTCAAAGAAGAAATAAAAGAAGAAAGCAAAAGATATAGAGAAAAGTGAAAATATGACACACCAAAAATTTTGGAATGCAGCAAAAGCAATACTTTAAGGGAAGTTTACAGCATTACAGGCCTCAAGAAACAAGAAAAATCTCAAACAACAATCTAACATTACACCTTAAGGAACTAGAAAAAAAAGAAGAAAGCCCGAAGTCAGTAGAATAAAGAAAATAATAAAAATCAGAGCACAAATAAATGAAATACAGAATAAAAAGACAATAGAAAAATTAATGAAACAAAGAGCTGGTTCTTTGAAAAGATAAACAAAATTGACAAACCTCTAGCTATACTCACCAAGAAAAATAGAAAGACTCAAATAAATAAAATCAGAAAAGAGAAGTTACAACGGATACCACAGTAACACAAAAGACTATACAAGAATACTAAGAAAAGCTAAACACCACCAAACTGGAAAACCTAGAAGAAACGGACAAATTCTTAATACAACCTTCCTAGACTGAATTATGAAGAACTGGAAAACCTGAATAGACTGATCACTAGTAAGTAAATTGAAATAGTAATCAAAAACCTCCTAAAAAACAAAGGTCCAGGACCAGATGGCTCCACCGGCGAAGCCAAACATTCAAAGAAGGTTTAATATCTATCCTTCTCAAACTCTTCCAAAAAATTGAAGGGAATGCTTCCTAATCATTTTACCAGGCCAACATTACCCTGATACCAAAACCAGGCAAGGATAACACAAGACAAGGAAAATTACAGGCCAATATCTCTTATGAACACAGAGGAAAATTCCTCACCAAAATACTAGCAAATTGAATACAATATATTTAAAGGATCATACACCATGATCAAATGGGATTAATTCCAGGGATGCAACATCTGCAAATCAATCAATGTGATACACCACATAAACAAAATAAAGGATAAAAATCATATGATTATCTTAGGAGATGCAGAAAAAAACATCTGAATAAATCAAAAGATACAGAGAAAAATGAATATTATAGCTTTACAACATATATGTATGATAAAAGTCTCAAAAAAATAGGTATAGGAGTAAAGTGCCTAAACATAATAAAGGTTATATATGACAAACCCACAGCTAAAGTCAGACTAAAGGGTAAAAAGCTAAAAGCTTTTCTTCTAAGAGTAGGACCAAGATAAAATGCCCACTCTCGTCTATTATCCAACATACTACTGGAATTCCTAGCCAGAGCAATTACACAAGAAAAAGAAATAAAAAACATTCAAATTGAAATGGAAGAAGTAAAACTGTCACTATTTGCAATGACAAACCCTAAAGACTCCAACAAACTATTAGAAATAATAAATTAATACAGTAAAGTTGCAAGATAAAAAAAATCAGTATACAAAAATCTGTTACATTTCTACATACTAACAACAAAATATCAGAAAGAGAAATGAAGAAAACAATCTCATTTATAATCACAACAAAAAGAATAAAATATCAAGGAATAAACTTAAAGGAAGTGAAAGACCTGTACACTGAAAACTATTAGACACTGTTGAAAGAAATTGAAGAAGGCACAACGAGATGGAAAGATATTCCACATTTATGGATTGGAAGAATTAACACTGTTAAAATGACCATATTACTTAAAGCAACCTACACATTCGATGCAATCCTTATCAACATCCCAATGGCGCTTTTCACAGAAACAGAACGAAAAATCCTAAAATTTGTGTGGAACCACAAAATACCCTGAATAGCTAAAGCAATCCTGAGAAAAAAAATCATGAAGCTGGAGGTATCACACTCTCCAACTTTAAACTATACTACGAAGCTATAGTAATCAAAACAGTATGGTACTGGCAAAAAACAGGCACACGGACCAATAGAACAGAACTGAAAATCCAGAAATAAACTCACACACATATAGGCAACTAATTTACAACAAAGGAGTCAAAGGAATACAATGGAGAAAGGAAAGTCTCTTCAATAAATTATGTTGGGAAAACTGGACAGCCGTATGCAAAAAAAAAAGAAGAAGGAAAAAAGGAAACCAGACCACTATCTTATACCATACACAAAAAATTAACTCGAAAATCGATTAAAGACTTAACTGTAAGACCTGAAAGAATAAAATGCATAGAAGAAAACATAGGCATTAAGCTTCTGGACACTGGTCTCAAAGGTGTTTTTGTGAATCTGACTCTAAAAGCAAAAACAAACAAATGGGACAACATCAAACTAAAAAACTTCTGCATAGCAAAAGAAACCATTAACAAAACAAAAAGGCAACCAACTGAATGGGAGAAGATATTCGCAAATGATACTTCCAAAAAGGGGTTAATATCCAAAGTAGATAAAGAACTTAGACAACTTAACAACAGAAAAACAAAAAATCTGACTAAAAACTGGGCAGAGGATCTGAATAGACATTTTTCCAAGGAAGACATTCAGATGGCCAACAGAGACATGAAAAAATAACACTAGTTATTAAAGAAATGCTAATCAAAACCACAATGAGACATCACTTCACATCTGTTAAATTGGCTATTATTAAAAAGACAAGAAATAACAAGTGTTAGAGAGGATGTGGAGAAAAGGGAATCCTTGTACACTGTTGGTGGTAATGTAAATTGTGCAGCCACTTTGCAAAACAGTATGGAGTTTCCTTTAAAAATTAAGAATAGAACTACCATATGACCCAGCAATTCCTCTTCCGGGTATTTACCTGAAAAATATGAAAACATTAATTCATGAATGTGTATGTATCCCTAGGTTTATTGCAGCATTATTTATAATAGCCAAGATACAGAAACAACCTAAGTGTCCACCAGTGGATAAATGGATAAAGAAGATATGGTAGATATATACATGAGAATACTCTTCGGTCATAAAAAGAAGAAATATGCCTTTTTTGGCAACATGGATAGATCTCAAGGGTATTATACTAAGTGAAATAGGTCAGAAGGAAAAGGACTGAAACCATATGATTTCACTCATATGTGGAATATCAAACAAAAAAGTAACAAATGATCTAACAAAACAAACAAAAAAACTCATAGATAATGGACAACAAAATGGTGATTACCAGAGGGAAAAGACAAAATGGGTAAAGAGGGTCAAATATATGATGACGGAAGAAAACGAGATTTTGGATGGTGAGCATGCAATAGAGTATACAGATAACGAATTGTAATGTACACCTGAAATTTACATATTAACCAATGTTACCTCTATACATGTAATTTTTAAAAACAGCATAAGCCGGAATTCAAACTCAAATCTGAATCCAACACTCTCAACATTGTTTTTAATTAGTAAAAGCAAAATATAAATCAGAACAACACAAGAATAAAACAGTTTCTCAACATACAACTCTACTGCCCTCGCCAGCAAATCAGATTACACAAAGCATGGAATCAAAATAAAGTGATTCTGTTACTGCCTAATAGTTTATCTCATAACACATGCTTTCCATTCACTCTTTACTCAGGCTCCCTTTCAACTTACTGCTTCATAAGACTTCTGAAGCTGTTTCTTTTTTCTCAGCTTAATCTGTTGGTTTACTCGGTGTTTGACTTGTTTCTGAAAATGCTTCAAAGCTTCTTGTTTTTTTCTTAGCTGTTCCTTTACTTCTTCTTCAATCATATATGCTGAAGTCTTTAAAGATGAAGGATAGAAAATGAACTTAAATGTCAACAGTTTTTCCCATTAGGGCTCTGTTATGAACACAAAGCAGTCAGGAAACAATCCTGAAAAACTAATTCAGTTCTGTAATTCGAAATTCCCAATAGAGTAAGGAAATCACAGTTCAGAGATGATAATCTAGACATAGCTAGTATCAAGAACTTAAAGCAAATCACAAACTAAAAACTGAAATTTGTGAGTACTCAAAAATTTTTCATTGAACTGAAAACAATGGTATCTTCATTAACTTTTAATGAACCAATTCATATCTATCTTATTACATATTTTCTAAAATGGGTAAAACAGTTCAGATACACCAGATCGTTCACCACTCACCAAATGTGTCCTATTCTAAAATGTCTTCATACTCAGAATTACGCTCCATTTTAACCGAACATGCCCTTCCTGTCATCTTCATCCAGTAAAGGCCTACTCAGTCTTCAAGACCATCTAATACCCACCTCCTAGTACCTTTCACAATCCTTCCTTCCTCTGAGCTCTCTGATTAACATCAATTGAGTACAGTATTTATTTCTTGATTCCTCCATTAGATTATGAACTCTTTGAGGGCAGGAAATGTATTTAATTCTCCTTTGTTTCCTCTAGAGTATATAACACAGAGCCATGAATATAAAGGTACTCAGTATTTACATAACGCTCAATTCCAAAACTTACTCTAAACAATTGGGAACATTTTATCCCATTTGCGTTCCTGATCAGTATTCACAAAGTCATATCATTCTTCTTGAAATACTGTAGTCTGAGCACATAATCACATACTACCTAAACTCTTAAAATCCCTTCTGGAAATAGGCAGAAGAGGAATAAATAAATGAATATGCACATACATACATATAAACGTAAATAAAATAAAGGAATATACAACACTACAATGCTATTTAACATGTACTTTAAACATATCTCATTTCTTCTCTGAGATCAAGGACCATGAAGTAAACATATCTCAATACCTTTCACCTCATGTTCAGCACCCTGTCTATACATTCAGTAGACCTTCACACATTTTGTGCATTCCGTAAATAGTTATCAAATGCCCATATTTATTAGGCACTAAGATAAAAGTGGAGATGGGATGATAAATAAGATTTATTCCCCCTGTGCTCTAGGAGCTCACACTCCATCAGGAAAAGGAGATATGTAAACAACTTAGTATGAATATATGGTGTTAAGTGCCACAATAAAATTCGAACAAATAGCTAAGTAGAACAGTTTGGCGAAAGACTATAAAAATCTTCTTTCAAAAATGTCCTCATGTGTTAATTAGTATATGTGAGCGTTACCATGTAAACAGGCACACGTGTAAACTGCACGTTTCCCTTCATCTGAAATAGTCCTTTCTACCATCTGTACTTACAGCGCATCCATTCTTTAAGGACTCACACAGGCTATATTTCCTCATTCGTTCATTCACTCATTCAACAAATATTTCCTGAAGGCCTACGGTAAACCAGGACAGAAATGAACAGAACATAAAGGTCTCTGTCCTTATGGAATTTATAGTTAAGCTGTCTCAGAATCCAGTCAGAATTTTCTTTTTCCTTTATTCTCTTACTGCACTTTGCCTGAATCTCCATTACCAAACTTATCAAAAGCTTTAAGCAATAAATTAATGTTAACATGAAATGTGGCAACTGTCATCTTGACTACATAGAAGGATGTCTGGGAGACATAAACAGTGCTTATGTCTTGTGCATGGCAAGCGAGCAAGAGTTTGTGAACTATATACATATATGTAAGTTTTGGCAAATACGTACATGGTTGTTCTATAATCCTAATGCAAGAATATATTTATGACAGAATAGAAACAGCATCTCCAGATTGTTCATCTTTATCTAAGCACCAGAGAAAGCTAATGAAAAGAAAGATGGGCTAGGAACTCCACCATTTTGGTTCCAACTGACACTCACATATGCTGGTATTTCCGAACTATGTGGTGAGGCAGGTTCCACCCATGCCCCAACTGGTACTATAGCCTGGTTCCTCTCAGCCAACACTGCTAACACGTCCTTGCTCTTCAAGGGGTTTAAAGCCAGAGGCAACTTTGAGGTATTTCGAGACGTCTTGTGGGGGGCCATACTTCCTGGTGACTCCTGGTAAGGAGAAAGGAAAAGCTTAAAATCTTCAAACGACCGCTTTAAAGGTTTAACCACCTAACACGTGAGCCACGGTTTCCTTAAAAGGACAGAAGTCTTGGAAGAGGCAGTAGCCTGACAGGGAGTGAAAGAACCAGGAGTCTGAAGGAAAAGGAGAGAAAGAGGAAAGAAGGGAAGCAAGAAGAAACAAAGGGGAAGAAAATGCTTGAATACTGCCTCTGGAAGGAATGGGGATGAATGGGAAGAGACAAAAGGATCAGAATGAGAGAACGAGGACTGTACCCTGTGGTGGCACAGCGAGGAGAGAGAGGGAGGACTAACTGCAGCGGCCAGAGAAAAAGGGGGCTGGAAGAGTAGGGGTGGGAACCTGGGTCTGAGTCAGAGTCCAAGTAATCGGTATCCGACTATGGGGGAAGCGATGAACGAAGAGGGTGTCCTGGGGCAGATAGCAGCCTGTTTGAGGCCTTGGGGTCCCACTCTGCTGATGGAGCACCGGTCGAGTATCCAATCGCAGCTCACCAGACTCAAACCACTCCGGATACTACAATAACCGCCTACTGCAAACCGCCGCTTTCGGATGGGCCGCCCCGCCCCGTCCCGCCCCTCCGTCTCCGCCCCTTCCGGGGCTGGGCAGGCGTGAGGGGCGGGGTTAGGGCCCCGGAGTCCATCACGTTCGCTTCCTGTCTCGCTGAGGGGGCGGTGCTCGTGAGGGTGCTGGGAACCCGGCGGAAAAGGTTGGGTGCGCGGGACCGCTGAGTATTTTTCCAGCCTAGGCGTGGCCGGCTGAGGGGTCAGCTGACGTGCGTTGTAGTCCCAGCACAAAGACCATCCCAAATCCTCCAGATAAGGGGATACGCATCAATTGAGGAAGCACGGGAAAAAGTAGGAAGAATGCGGGCCTGGCAGGACTTCCTCAAGGAATAAGTCATACCGATCCTTTGTACACCTCGTTACATTTACAGTGCTATTTCATATATATTTCTGTTTTAGAACATCGCAGCTTCGTGAGTGATCTCCCTCCCTGCTCTAAACTCTGTTATGGTCCCGGGCACTTCATTATCCCTATGAAATACCCGATCATTCGTTCATTTAACATAAAATTGAGAGCTTTTTATGTTCTAGGCACTGGAAGTATAAACTATACAAAACAAATATCCCTTGCTCATGGACTTTACAATATAACCAGGAGTAACCAAATAAACACATGAATAAATAAATATGTCTGATGCTGATAAGTGCTGTAAAATAAAAGCAGAAAGAGGATAAAGAGTATGTTGAGTGAAGCAGACAGGAAATTTTAGGTGGGAGAACCAGAAAAGGCTTCACTGAATTACTTTCCAGCAAAGGCTCCGGTGCAAAGTTCCACGAAATAATGGAACATGCTATTCTAACCTTAAAGGGAGGGTTTTATAAAGAATGTTCCAGGCAGAGGGAACAGTGAGTACAATCACTGCAAGGTGAGTACAGCCTGGCAAGAAGGCTGGTGTGACTGGTGCAGAGTGAGTGGGGAAGAGTGTTGAGATAGGTCAAAAGTTAGAAGGTGGAAAATCTTATAGAGCATTTTAAGTGACCAAAAGGTGTTGAGATGGGGAGCCACGAGAGGGATTTGGACAAAGAAATGCCATAATGTGATTTAAATTTTTTAAAAATCATTCTGGATGCTGTATTGAGAATAAACTGAATGCAGCAAGTGTATGAGCAAGTAGACCAATTAGGAAGCTATTCTAATAACCCAAATAGGAGATTATGATGTCTTGGATCAGGGACCTGTAGTAGATATCATGGGAAGTAGTTGGATTCCGGGTATATTTGGGAGGCAGGAATTTTAGGACCTGTTGAAAGTTAGGTATGGATTGTGTGTGCGTTTGTGTGTGTGTACACTCACATGCATGTGTGAGAGAGAGGAGTCAAGGGAAATTCTAGGGATTCCATTCTGAGCAGCTGACAGGATGGAGTTGCCATTTACTGAGATGGGGGACATGGTGGAAGGAGTAGGTTTGGGAGAGAGCAGATAAAGAGTTCAGTTTGGGACAGATTGTTTAATTTATCTAATGGACACTCAAGAAGGTGTATGATAAAAATGTCTGGAGTTCACAGTAGAGTTCTGGGCTAGAAATATAAATTTGGGAGCTGTTTGGGACTTGAAGTCATGAGACTAAATAAAATCATCGAGGGACTAAATATAGACAGATAAGAAAAAGGTCCAAGGACTGAGCCCCAGGCATATTCCAACATTAAAGAGGCTGAGGAGAAGAGAAGAATCAACCAGTTAGCTAAGGAAGAAAATCAGGAGTGTGTGATACCTTGAAAGCCAACTGAAGAAAAGGTTTTATTAAAGAGGACAGACCGTCTAGGTTAAATCCTGCTGGCAGGTAGGTCAAAGAAGATGACGACTGAGAAGTGACTAATGGATTTAACAATGTGGAAGTCATTGATGACCTTTTTTTCTTTTTACAGATGGAAAGGTTTAATAATTTACCAAAGTGACATACAGCACATATGGGATTAGCTGGGATTTAAACCCAGGCATTCTGACTATGGAACTTATTTGTATGGTAAAATAGTAATTGTAAGTACATTATAAATGTAAAGAACTATGTTATTTTTTTAAAACATAGCATGATAGAACTAGGAAGCCCGTATTGGATATCACTCTGTGGTTGACTATGGGTGATTTACTACTTTGTTTTACAATACTGTATTTTATAAGCTTTCTACAATAAGCATATACAACCATTGCAAAAATGTAATTAAATCATTATTTTTATTCACACAAATTGTTTTTAAAAAGGCAAGATACAGGAATATTTAGTAAATCATCATGGTATTTATCTGTCCAATAATTTGTATAATTATACCTATATATGAATTATACCTATGAATTATATATTCTTTTGAGAATGCAACCAATTTTGTTAGAAAAATGTTGTGCTAAAAACTATTACATAATACTTGATTATATTTCTTCATTGATGACTTTTAAAAGAGCAGTGTTTTTGGAGTAGTTGTAGGCCTAAGAGGGGAGGAGGAATTGGAGACAGCAATTTTTGTTAACTCTTTCAGTGAGTTTTGTTGTAAAGGGACACAGAGAAATGGGTAGCTGACAGGAGAGGTAGGATCATAAGAGGGTTCTTTTCTTGAAGATTGCAGCACACTTTTTTGTTGATGGGAATTACCCAGTAGACAGGAGAAAACTGACAATGCAGGAGAGAGATGGGAGAAGTTTTGTGTCTATGTTCTTAACTGGGCAAAAGGAAATGAGATCTAGTGAACAGGTGGAGGTTTGGGCCTAAGATAGCAAGACAGCAGCTCTTCATAACAATAGCATTAAAAATAGAATATAAACTGGTAATTGGATAATATGGTGGTGGGAACTTGTGGAAGTTCTTTCCTGATTGCTTTTTTTTTTTTTTTAATATAAAATAGTATTGTAGCCAACCTACAAAATGGCCTCTAATGATCCTCACCTCCTGAGACTCACACCCTTGTGTAGTTCTCCTCTCACACTGTACAGGGTTGTTCTGCGTGACCAACAGATTATGGCAGAAGTGATGGTGTGTCACTTCGGAGGTTAGGTTATAAAAAAATGCTGTGTCCTCCCTCTTTCTCACTCTTGCTCTCTCTCTTTCTCTCAGATCATTCACTCTGAGGGAAGTCATTTATGTCATGAACAGCCCTGTTAAAAGGCTCACATGGCAAAAAACTGAAATCTCCTGCCAACAGCCCTATGGAATGATCTTGAAAGTGGATCCTTCAGCCCCAATCAAGTCTTCGGAGACTGTAGTCTTGGCCAAAACAACTTGACTGCAACCTCATAAGAGAACCTAAGCCAAACTACCCAGCCAGAAACCTGATCTCTGCATGAGATGTTTCTTGTTTAAGATGCTAAATTTTGGAGTAATCTGTTACAGAGCAAGAGAAAACTAATACAAATAAGAAGCAAGGCCATCAATCAATAAAGTAGATGAAAAGATGTTGGAAGTTTAAGAAAGGAAAATAAAGTATAAAATAGTTGTCCAGAAGAGTGGAAGTATGAACTAGAGACATGTATAATTGCCAGATGGCCTTAAGGACCCATGTGAGGTTTACGATTATAAATTTAAAATGGTATCAGTCAGCACGGTTCAGTGTTTTTCTTCAATTGCATAGTTACAGGCATGAAGTAGGTGAAGTATTTAATTTTAATAGGGGTTGAGATTTTGCCAAAATATTACTATCAAGCAAGAAAGGGGCAAGGAAATTAAAAATTAATGCAAAAGAGTAATTAAATAACTGACTAAAAAATTTAAGATAAGTAACATGGGAAGGGAAGACAAATGAGAGAAAAGGAACATTGTAAAGTTAAATTTTTAGGATCAAGAGACTGTAGGTTACAGTGGGAGGTCTAAGGTTTGTTAGAGCAGGATACTAGAAAGAATGCACTGAAAAGATGAGAAGTGGTGACTGGGAGTGGGATTCTTGAAATTGAGAGAGTATGGAGGGGCTGCAGATACAGGTACTGTCAAAGTCTATGGTTCAACCAAAGGAGAGAGTGCTTAGGTGGGTTAAAGAACAAAATCACTGAAGAAAAAGTCACAGAAATGAGGGGCCACAGCATTGGATGAATTATGCCTAAGGTTATTGAAATCACCAAAATATATGACAAGAATAGTGTTGGCGGGAGTGAAGAGAAGTAATCTTCAAGGAATTTCAGGAAAAGACCTGGAAGTTAATAAGTGAGTATAATTGAGTATAACTTGGAAAGCAGGGAGTGGTATGGTCTAACAAGATTAGATTCAAAGTGAGGGGCGAAGCTCAGAAAAAAGAGGGAGAATGGTTTATAAACAGCACTGAGTAACCAAGTAGCAAGAAGGAAACCTATTCCACCTTCAACCAGAGGGGCGAGGAACAGAAAACTTGAGAGAGCCAGAAGGAGGTTGATTTGTACATCTAAACACACACATGCGCACACACACACACACACACACACACGCACGCACGCACGCACACACACGGAAGAAGTGTTATTAGGTATCTCTTTGCTCTCTCTAACCTTCCACCCCAAGGTCTATACCTCCTACTAGCAGCTGTGCCAGTGGTTTCATGTGAATCTATACCCTCGTTATGTCCAGAGAGCTCACATATTAGGCTCTGCCCCATTTTCTGACCTTTTCACAAGGCTTATCTTCTACATGGCCTGAGTTGGTTTCTCAGCAAGGGAACTGTTTGCTTAGAAATGTCTCTCTTTAGAAATATAAAGGAATGGGTGTTGCTGGGACTAGAGTCTTGAGGCCCTGCTCCAGGGCTCTTGTCATCAGAGCAGGGTAACCTCTGATGTATGTGGCTGTGGGATCCCTGGCCACCTCTGCACAAAGCGCCAAGTCATGGGCCCCTGGCAGCAGTCTACTCCACACAGGACCGATCGTTTGGTGAGTACCACAGGGCAATCTGCTATTTGTGGGTGATGGTCTATTTGTCGCTGACTGACCCACCCCTGTAACAAATCAGAAAACTTGATAACCTGTTTGTTCTAAGGGCCTATCCTAAGAAGAACTTTCATAGAGGTCGGAATCTGCCTATTCCCATTCTCAC